CCAAGCGTCTGCCAGACCTGATGGTCAGGGACCTGTACAGTACCATTGCTCTCTCAGTGTTAGCACTTTTCCTCGCCAGCTAACACCTGGGGCCACCACAGGACACAGGGCTCCCTGCCCAGCTCCACGGAGCTTCTCCACCCAGGTAGGACCTCAACATCCAATGTAGGTGTTGAAGCTGAGAACTGATCAATGAAATAGCTTCATCTATTACATATTAGAGTTAGTTTTGCCTTTAAAATTTACTCCATGCGAAAAACACTGTACATCTACAGTGCTTGATTAAAGTCAAAATAGTAGAATGATGGTAAGATGTCTTTTCATGTGCTGCTCTTTTCTATAAAATGACATAATTTTTTACTCAGTTTTCTTTTTCTCGTGACAGGATATGTTTAGGATTACGTTCAGCTACACAGAATGGAAAACCCAAGAAGGAGGCTTTGACAAGACAGGAATCTACCTTACATGAAAAAAACCCAAGGAAGAAAATCCAGAGCTGAAAAGTCTGGTTCTGGGGCCATCAAAGACCTAGGCTCTTCTCCTGTGTCTGCTCCAACTTTCTAACCATATAACTTTCATTTCAAAAGTGCTTTATCACCAGAACATAGCTACCAGAGCCCAGCCTTCATGTCTATGTCCAGACAGCTGGAAGGAAAAAAATCCTCTCCACTGACTGCCCCGCAAAAGCTCAAATCAAGATTTTAGCCCATATTTCTTTCATCTCTCCTGCTTGTAAGAGAATCTTGTGTGTATCTTGTATCAAAGTACATCGCTGCCCTCAATAATACGCAAATCCATGAGCGAGAAAAGAAAAAGAACAAAGCTAGGGGATAGGGAACAAAGCTAGTCTGTCAGCTTTGTCCCCACCATGCTCTTTCCTGGCCTGTGTCAACTCCTAACCACTGCGTGGTAGACCCAGGGCAAAGTTCTGGAAGCCATGACCTGGAAGGCTCTGTGTGTGTGAGGTCAACTCAAGGCCCAGCCCATAGATATTGTGATGTTGCCTCTTCTGTTTGCTTCTGCCTGGTGTACAAGTCTCATTTACCTCAGATTAACTTGTGTGTGGAAGCTCTTCCCTCAGGGCCCAACGGGGCCAGTGGATTGAAGAGAAAGTGTTTGGATGAAACAGTGGATACTATTGCCTTTTTCTCCATGCCCCGGTCACGTCAGTCAGCTCATCTTCCTTCTGCTTGGTTAACTCCTGCCTCTGCTACCATCACTGAGTGCTATACTTTGAAACTCAAGTGTCCCCTGCTCCCCCATGTGTCACCAGCTTACAGCACTATTGGGAGATGGTGGAACCTTGAGGAAGTGGGCGCTAAAGGGAGGGAGTGAGAGGGGTGAGTTCACTGGGGGGTGGGCTTGAAGGGAGATTTAAGGCCCCTCTTCTTTCCCTCTTTGCTTCCTGGCTGCCATGAGGTGAACAGGCCTCCTCTATCCCATACTCCCACCACAACATCCTGTGCCTCCACAGGCCCAAAGCAACAGGGCTGAGACCATGGACTGGAAGCTTCGAAACCATGAGCTGAAGCAGAACTGTCCCTCCTTCTATGTTTATTGTCTCAGGGGTTTTCTTACAGTAACAGATAGCTGATGAACACACTGATGAAAACTCAGGTCAACAGATTTTCACATAGTCCCTGAGTGTAGAATAGTGATGTAGAATAGAGGGGACTTGCTGGGTCTTCATTTCGAGTGAGCTTGAAAGGTAAGTAGTTGCTCATTCAAGTTTGGGCAACAGGGGACAATTCGTGTAAAATGAAGAATCTACTTCACTGATAGCAACAGGGAGGTGCTCATGATAAAGTCTACTTTCCCTCAACCCCAGGGCACCTCTCACCCCATTTTATAGCCAAGAACACCGAGACTAGGTCACCTGCCTAAGTCACCAGGGGCCACCTCAAAGCTGCACTGGCCTCTCTGCATCAAAAATCCACCCTCCCCAGAGGAGCCTGGCTCTCCTGGACAGGATTCAGATCCCATGCCCAGGTCCTAGGGCCTGATCCTGACTCCCAGGCACTGAGTGAGGTGAGGGGCCTGGGGGACACTGGGGAGGCGTAGGACCCCCCCTCAGAGCAGCTCAGGAACCAGACTTAGAGTAAAATGCTTTGGGCTCTACTGCTATCCTCATCACAATTATTAACTACCTTTGCTATGAGGCTCGGCCCTTTCCCACTAATGCTTAGGGTTTAAAAATGGAATGAGGAGGAGCTTTGGAGGAGGTTCTCTGACTTCTCTTTCATTCTTGATTATTTTTATTAAGCGTTTATCAAACAAAGGCCTTCAACATGAAATGCCTTAGACTTCGATCCTTTGACATAACAAGAAAGCAGGCAGCAGACAGTTCAGCTCTGCAAAAAAAATGAAAAAATAAAAAATATTTTTTCACAATGAAGTCAGCAGAGGGATCCTTGACTGGAGATGCTTCCACAAGCCAGAGAGAAGGGAGGGAAGCTTGCATCAGAATTCCAAGGAGAACAAAAGGAACCAGCCCCCAGGAAGAATATGAAAATTAAAAACTGACAAGTACAGTGCACTTTGCAGGTTATAAAGCCATCTTTCATAGTGTTATCTTGCTCGAGCCTCCCTGCACACTGCAAAGGGGAAGGAGAGCCTCCGAGCCAAGGCCACACAGCTAGAATGGGGGCGGGAATGTGGTCAGAAAGAGCTTGCCTTCACCACCTACCATGCTCAGGCGACCCCCACCCCAGACCCCAGTGAGCCACTGTGAGCAAAATGAGTCCTTACTCTTCCTCCAGCCCAGTGGTCACCGCTTTGGAGGCCAAGGCTTCGGATTTGATTCCTAGGGAAGGCACAGCTGGGAGAGACGTTTCCACTGGTTCGCACCTGTAAAGCCCTCCCTGTGTCCTATGTGGCCCTTATGGGGCCCCCTTGGGAAACTAGTGCTCCCCCCCAGGTGAATGGGTGGGACAGGAGTGTAACAACCACCCTCCTCCACGCCCTGCCAACCCCGCACAGTCTGCCCATGGTTCCTCCAAGATGGTGGTGTCTGGGGCAAGCATCCACAGGCCTCTGTTTACTCACCTGTAAAATGGGGAGAGGAGCATGCTGCCTTCATGCTGCCACCAAGGAACATGCTAGGGAGCAGAGGTGGAGGCCACTGGCCTAGACAAGCCTGGAGCTGGGCCCGCCCTCCAGACCTGCTCTCTAAGAGCCTCCTGCTCTGACAAGGTTTGTGGCTGGGTGCTCGGCTCCCATCTCAGACTCCCAGGGTCATGTGGGTCACCTGTGGGAGGAGGCGCAGGTGGATGCCAAGGGCAGGATGCCTCGGGTCATGAGGGTGTCTTTGGACTTCTGTCCAGCAAACAGGTTCTTATCCTAAAGGAAGAAGAGTTTTAAGCCCCAATCCCACATGCTTTCCCACCAACGATCCAGCAATTACATAATCAACACAATTTCCTCTCTTCATTTTCAAGTTTGTTTTCTTTTTTTTGAAAGACCTGGCCGAGTGATGTTAAGTTCAACCCATCCAGGATTCCAGATAAACTCTTGAACAAGAGTTGTGTACAAACTTCTCAAGTTGCTCGTGCGGGATGCACCCCCACCCCCAGGCCTGGGCCCGCAGCCCCTGTGCAGGGAGGGCCACCCATAGACTCTGCAAGGTCGGGGATCCTGGGGCTCAGCACCCAGCCACGAGTCCTGGTGGAAGGCATCAGCCCCGATGTCTTCAGGAGAACTAGATGGGAGCCGTGGGTCCAGTGGGACAGGATGGCAGGGAGCCCAGAAACAGACGAGAGCAGCTGAGGAACAGGTGATTCCACTCGGCCTCACCAGGGTCAGTGAGCCTAGCACCAGAGTCGCCCAGTGTCCCTCGGTCCCCTTCCCCAGCCCAGCTGCGCATTCCCACCCAGGACAGCAGAAGCAAGGCGTCCCAGGCCAGGTGGCCAGGTGAGGGCTCCCCAAAGCTTCCTTGCTGATGCTGCAGTGAGAGGGGAGGCAGAGGACAGGATGCACATCGAGGTCCCTAATACAGAAGGAGCCTCCCCTCTGAGAATACCTCTTGGAATTACATTACACAGAGCTGGACTGAAGAGGCCGAGCCTCCCCAGGATGAAAGCACTGCTGTGGGGAGGCGTCCATGGCACCCAGGAGAGGCCGTTTCCATGTTTTAGATGGAGCCCGGGCAAGTCCGCGAGTCCCAACTGGTGAACCGAGAGGCAAGAGGCGCCTGACGTGCCTCTGCCTCCGGAGAGTTAGAGCACCACTCGGGACTAGAGGTTCAACTCTGAGAACACTTAGCGACAAAGGTCTCCTGTGTTTGTTTTGTTTTTCAATTTTTAATCGAGTTGTTATCTATGCATTTAAAAAGCAAAATAGCTGCAACTCAGGTCTCGGGCTGGAGGGCCGTGAGCGCCTGTGAAGGTCAGAGGTCCAGAGGCTGAGGTTTAGCTTCGGCTTCCTGCCCTCGGGGTGTGGAGCTCAGAGCGCCCCCTCGGCTGTCCGGCTAGGGCGTCTGTCCCGCGGGTGCAGACGGGGCCGAGGCACTGGGGCCCCGGAGC